AAGGAAGGAAAGAAAGAAAGAAAGAAAGAAAGAAAGAAAGAAAGAAAGAAAGAAAGAAACCAAAAATAGTTTAGATAAGTATTTAATTTCTGACGTCCCCCTTCTTTGTGTTCCAACTGATTTACAGTATTTACTAACATAAACTTTAGAAACCATATTCTAAATTTTCATATTTGCCTTGCTGCATGATACTTCGTATATCTGGAAGCCGTTCTTGCTTAAGAACGTTCTTGCTTTAACTAACTTCTATCATGGCCAACATCTTGACTTTTTTGAACATATTGTGTGGACACCCCTGTACCAAGCCCACCACTGGCCCTTAGCCCTGCACATTGGGGCATAAGATTGCAGCACATGGTCTCCTGGGCAAACAAATTGTTCCCCATTTGGGCTTTCCTTTTGCTAATCTGCAAACCAAGCCGCCCGATCGAAAGCATTTCTTATTTTAAGCCCACCAACCAAGTAACCCCTGTTTGAAACTGCTCTAGACACTGGACTTCACAGACAGACCTTTGACCCCGGCTGAGAACCGAGACCCTGCAGCCAAAGGGAGCCGCAAGAATTCAACGGAGAACCTGAACAGGCAGCAAGAAATCACCCAGGACACCAAGGGTCCACAAGAGTCCAGGCAACAGGAAACAGCCGAGAGAGACTCCCTTCAGAACGGAGGGGATGCAGCACAACAAAGCCCTCTTAAGCGAACGGAGAAGCGACAATCCTTCGGAGGGTTTCTCAAGGGCCTTGTATGTTACCTTCGACTTCCCTTAGCAACCCCTGCCTAGCCAGCACTCCTGGAAGAAAGCGTTCTTGCGCAAGATGAGAATGGCTCCTAGGCCTTCACTCTTTTCTTTTCTCAAGGATGAATTAGGAGTGTAATGATTTGAAGGGAAGGGGCACCAAGCTGGAGGGAGACCTGTCCCTACCGAGGTTACCAAAAGGGGAGCTGTAAGAGCAATTGACTACCAAATTCATTCCCCCAGATGGCCTTGGGACTCGGATGAAGTGGAATCCTTATCCAGCCTGGTGCCCTCTAATTCTACTGGGACCAGCTCCCAGGATTCCCTACCAGTACAGCCGAAAACTGATGGGGATTCTGGGAGTTGCAGTCTAAGTACAGCTAGAGAGTGCTAGATTGCAGAACTGTTATTCTGCAATTCAAAAATGGATTAATATGGCTCTCTATTCAATAAGTGGGTTTCCATCTGGGTTGCAGCTAGATCACCGTCAGAGAAATCAGCTTTAGGCCCAGAGATCTCTTTCCCGAGTTACGCCCTGAAGCTAAAGAACTATAGAGCTGTGTTCACATATCACACTGGAGTTTAAATGAAAGGCTTCGTTTAGTGCGTCGTGTCAACTTAGTCATTATTGTTTCTCTCTTCATTGGAAATTGAAGGTGCATCCAAACCTGGATATGGGGAAAGCGTTTTCTAACTTTCACTTTTGCAGGATTCTCCTGGTCAGTTGCAAAACACAGAAGCTGCCAATCAAGCTCTTAAATAGGACCAGTTTGCACAGATGCCTTTTCCTATCAGTTTGACTAAAGGTTTATTATTCAAGCCTCAAGTAATATATGAAACTTATGTAATCCTTGCCTCTTCTAACTAAAACAGTCTCAGAGTAGGAGGAGGACTGAGAAGGGTGGGGACTTTGGTTCAACATAGTCCCTCCCAAGTTACTTTTCTGCCTGCTGAAGGAAAGAGACAGTTTTCCTAAAAAATACTCATTTGATTTAAGCTCAACTCCTAGTGGCTCCCTGGATACATCCATGTACTTTTCTTGGCAACCACATGGGTAGATTTGCCACTAGTCTATTCTGCATTTTGGTTTGTTTGCCTTTTAGTTTGTTTTACTCCCGGTGTACTCAACAGCCCAGCGATTTCCTAGTGGTCTCCCATCCAAGTATCGAACTTGGTTAGGTTGGGGTGGAGGGTCAGTCAAGACTGGCTAGAAATCAGTGTTCAGAATGTAAAGCAGGAGTTTCTCCTGATCCACTCTAAATGGCATCTGAGTCTTAAGAGCTCTGTAATTGTTTCCCTCCCTGCCAAATATTAAATAAACAAAGGAATAGTCTTTGAAAGGAAAAGGGGACAAAACTTTTAAAGCCAAGTTCTCCTAGAGGTGGGTTTTCTTCCCCAGATATTAGAGCTTTATTTATTTATTTTTCACATTTCTATCCGCCGCAGTCCAGAGATTCTCAGGGGCTGCAACTCAATATTACAAAGGGATAAGAATGAAAGGATGTGATATCTCTCCCAGAAAGATAGATAGAACTTGCTTTATTTCCTTTGGATGTGCTGGCTGACAATGCTGGCAACCTTTATCTCAACCCACCAAGAAGGAACGGGCTGGGAAAGAAATCATAAAATAGTCCACTTTGATTTCTTTCTCACTGGCAGATTGATAGTAATCAGGTTAAATGGGTTGTGTTGAATCCATCAACTGATTGCATCTCTATCCCCAGAAGCAAAAGATGCTTTTTTACTCCTGGAATTTCTGCTGCCGGAAACTCCACTCCCTGAGTGGTGACTCCAACTGCACATTGTAGAATTTGGGTTCAATACTTTCATCCTATTTTTATCTTCTTGTCTTTTCTTGTGTGTGCCTTTCAGATTGTGAGTCCTCAGGCCAGGCTCTTTGCACTTATATATTTCTTTCAAGTAGCAGGCACAAGATGACATTCAAAGGAGGACGACGCTAGAATCGTTCTCAGTTAATCTTGTCCAATGTCCTGCCAAATGGGAAACCCAAAATAAAATGCAAAACACCCCAGAACCCTTTGGGAGCTATTAGCAATCGATCTTTTCTTTCAATTTTCCTTCCAGCAGCGAGGTGAAATGTTAATATTATTTGTAAGTAGGATCAAAACAGGGATGAGTTAGAAGCAGAGAAGCCCCATCTAGCCAGCCCCTTCCTGTGTCTTTTGCACCCACAAAGGCTTATAACACACAGGAGAGAGAAAAACTAAGGCAGGAGAGAAGTGTTTTGATGAATAATGTGATATGATTGAGCAAACATGTTGGGGTACTTCTGCAATCAATAAATGTATTACGGCTTGGTGTTTTAAATATGATAGGCAGGACTGTATACAGAAATGCAGGAAAAGTACAAGAAATTTAATTAGTGACAGAACATTGTCTTTTTTAAATAAGTCCCTCACACTTCTGCAGGCTCAACTCAGGCCAATTCTTAAAAGATTTTGAATGAAATGTGGGGGTTTTATGTGGAGATGCACATAAAAAACCGGTGGAACTTTGATTGCACCATCGTGGCTGCCATCATGACCTCTTTTGACCACCACGGGCACCCCAAAAATGCTCACTGGTTTGAGCGGCAGACTTCAGAATCTTTGTTCCTTCTCCTACCTACTCAGAACAAAATAAATTATAGTAAACATCAAGCCAGTATCCATATGTTGCATGTTGTAGCTTTTTCCCATATGAAATTTGCCTATTAGCAGTAAGCTTATTTGGATTTTTTATGTAGCAAAATGCCCACTCGGTTCTGGCGCAGACTCTTTCACCATCTGCATAAAGACAACGGCCCACTGAAGAGAGACGGAAATAAAAGCCTGCCAGTGTCAGGTTCCGACATAATTTCCTGAGCACCTTCAGCAATATTTATATGTTTCTCTCTCTATTTTTTTCCCCTTTCTCCAGAGCCCCAAACGGATGTCGGATGCTGGGGTACAAACAGATCCTGTGTCTATTGTGTCTGTCGTGAAGCCCAAATAATGAATAACCTGAAGTCTCTGAAGAATCACTGGAGCACCGTTACTTTTTCTCCTTGCGGGACAAAAAGAAAGGAAGAAATGATTGGTATTGTTCATCCCTCCCTCTCTCCCTCCCTCCCTTTTCGTGGCTGTAGCAAACTAAGTCTTGTGCCTGAGGACGGATGTACAGATCCAAGGTCATCCCAAGCAAGGTGTTTTATGGGCTGTGTGGGCGCACATGCCTGTTTCCACTGTCACCCGTGCACTGCTTCTCCCACTGAACTGCCTTGTCTGCCCTCCCTGCAGTTCAGTCTGTTGAACACCACGCCCATCTTCTCTCCTGGTGCCATTACCACCACGCCTCTCATGGGATGACCATGAGGCTGACCTATCGCTGCCCCACTGTCCTCACTGGTCGTGCATCCAAAAAGGCAGCATCTGATTGGTTTAGCTGCCTGACATTCCTCTTTCTAGCACATAGCAATAAAATGGAGTGGTGGGGCTGCAGCCTGGGCTAAAGATCCAAATTAAACACCACCACCCCCCTTCCAGCAGCCCTGAATGCACCCACTGTGCTAATATATGTTTTGAGAGACTACCTTTTACAGAACATGTTCTCTTAAAAGCTAGCAGATAATAAAAGCTTACCGAGACAGACACAATGGGGAGACAGTAAGATTTAAATGGAGTTCAGCATCCAGGACAGCTGGTAGGTTCACCGGAAGGCAAAAGCTGATAGAGGAATACCAGTAGGGGGAAATGGGTTAAGATCAAATGTGTCTACCAATTGTTTCACTCTTTTTTCTGTATTAGGAATCTAAAAAAACAAACAAAAACAAATTAAAAGAAACAGGAGAAAGCCTGCATACAAATTCATATAACCTATGCATGTCTAATATATGCATTTCTGTATTGAGTTCATAATGTATCCTATTTAGCCACCAATATTTCTTATATTTTGCTGCATTATATGCAATTTTTGTGTGCATCTTTTTAGCTGCAAACCGTGTCCCAGAGTTTTGCAAACTGTGGATTTTGATGCATAAGAATGTTCCGTTCACTTATAAATTCAAGAAAAGTGAACTGCTGATGTTTGTATTTTTAAAATGGAAGAAAATGTATTTCTCCTCCATGCCTACATTTCCATTCTGAAATGTAACCTCCACCCCAGGTTTCTTCCAATGTCCTGATTTTAAGAGAGGGTCATCTTAGGACATCTGATTGCAGGTCCCATGTCCCATTTAGCACTAACCCTGCTGGGTTAGAACAGCAGAAGGAGTCTGGTAGAACTTTTCCCAGCTAACAGATTTTATTAAAATATGTAAACCTTCATGAGCTGTAGCTATAACTCATGAAAGCTTACTCCTTTTAATAAAATTGGTTAGTCGGAAAAGGTGCTACCAAACTCCTCCGGATTTTTGGCTACCATAAGACCAGCATAGCTCTCACTGTACAATCAGAGCAGCATGTAAGCCCCAGTAAATGAATACAATAAATAAATAAATAAATTTCCTCCTTAGCTTCATGATCTTTGATCAGCAAAAATTCTGCAACCCTTGGTTGCAGCTAAGCCAATCATTTCAGAACCAGTTTGGAGGATGAGCAAAGTTCTGAAAGCTTCCTCTGACTCATATTAGAAGAGCAGTCTTGGATCATTTGTCTTAGTTTGCCCAGTTATGCAAAGAATTCCATTTGTATTTGTGTGTTTGCTATTTGTTTATTTTTCAGTAATTTACATCACATAAATTCAGTTTCCCTGCTCTGCGAGATCCTGAGTGCATGCAGAAGTATGAAGCAAATTAATGGGTAATGGCTGTTGATATTCTACTTATTCATTCTTACCCTGCCATTGTGCTTTCATATTTACTGAATTGATATATAACAAACAGGGGCCTCTATAAGAGGCATTAAAAAAGCCACAATAGCAGCTGCACCCGTGCAAATCAAAGCCCCGCCCCTTTTTAGGCGGGTCACGTTCGGCTTGGATGCTCTTTTTGCCATGGGCCCAGGGTGAGTTGAGGAACAGCGGGTGATGCACGAAGCAACAGCTCACAGCTCACAGAAATACAGACTCTCCCGCTTCAAAACAAGTGGATGTTTCCTTTATAGTCTGCCAGAATCTGAGTCCATCCAATGTCTGTTGGAACTGGGAAACAAACTGATATCTAAGGTTTTTTTTAAAATGAATACAGGATCTGGCATCTTCTAAAAGCAGGGTGTCTATCCTGTTATGATCTAAAAATGTTTCATGCTTCTCATGGGTAGTCTTGGGTTAATCTTAATCATAGCTAGGAATATTGTGGGACATAGTAAAACAGTGGTGCATTTATGCAGAGGTAAATATTCTTATGAGCTAGATACATACATTGCCCTAGCCATGTCCTAGCTGGCTTTGTGTAACAAAGTGTGGAGAGGCTCAGAGATGGCCTTGGAGAAACTATGAAGAGATGGTTACAACATGTCAACACGCATGCTTTAAGCCCAAGAAAAATGGAAAACGATAGAAAGAAGCCCAGTTTGGTTCCTCCTTAGTCCACTAGAGCCTAAGGAGAAGGGAGGGAAAATCAGGCATTCAAGATTCTGTTACCATACTCTATGTCAATAAATATAGTTTCAATAAAACTTGCGGAATTGGTTTCCTGTTCTAACCTATCTCAAACAGCTGACAGTAAACCAACATCAAACAAACCATATTAGAGGGAATCAACTGAGTAACAAGTACCAGTATTAAAACTCAAAGATACTTAAAGGGATACTTAACAAAATGAGAAGTTAATTGGCAAGCTAAGAATAGCTCTCATGGATGAGTTAATGCAGACAAAATAGTTTTGTTTACATTCGTTTTGACAGTGACATGGTTCACACAACAGGGTTAATGCAAAGGATGGTTTGGAAGCCTGTTTCAAACCACGCTTTCATATCTTCTTTTCTAGGCAAGCTTTATTTATAGTTTTATCAGATAACAGTGCACAATCAGGATAGTAAATGGCGACCCGTTGTTTAGTACTGTGCGATGTTTGCAAAAGCAGGTATGGAGAATGATTGATGAGAGTGTGAAAGCTTTCCAAGGCTGCCGTTATAAAGATAACATGATGTAAGACCCAGCGGACTGTGGGGCTTACTCAGGACTGTACTGGACAATAAGAAAAGGATGAGATTAAAATGCTTGTGATGTACATGATCGGAGAGATTCTCTTTGAGGGGCACCATTATCCAGGGAAAAGAACAGCTATAAACCTGAACAGCCTCCATTGCAAGTTGTAGTCTGAAATACTTTCAAAACACAAACATACATACACATGCCCCGCTGTTGATTAAGAATACCAGGGTCGCATTCATAAATCTTTCAAGGGACCCTTGAAATTGATTTTCAAGTGATTAAGTTTATTGAAACAGCTGAAATGTACAGGACTTGTCACTAATTCTCATCTATTTCTGTCTTCATGTAATGAAATGCAAGAAGTTTGCTTCTCAAAAGTAATTAAAGTATTAACCAGAATCCAACACGAGGGGGCAGAGTGGAGGCCCTTTTATTACTAACCCAAAGGATGTATTTACTTCTGTGTTATTAATATGTTTTGTTGAATTAAAACAGGGAAAGGTCCAGTTGTTAGATTATGCAATTATATGATTTTAAAAAAAAACATGGCTTAAAAAAACAAATGCAATTATATCTGATTTACAAACATTCTGTGGTAGGAAAGTTTTGTAGCACATCTATGCTACACATACAAAGATGCATTCTATTTGTTATTGTAAAAGTAAGGAAGAGTAAGACTAATGTTATAATTTAAACTAGCAGCTGAATTTTAAATACTTGTATATTTTGATTTCCTTCTGATTCAATAAACATTATTTAAGAAAATCGATTTATGTTTTTAATCCCTTAATTAAAAGTTTTTATTAGTTCTCTATGGCTATGATCCCAATTTTGCAAAACTTGAAAAAGAGAACACCTAATTCATGTCTTATTACTGTCTGCTGTTGGCAGAAATATATTTAGGATCTACCAAAGTCTACATCTGATGTATTGTCGAAGGCTTTCACGGCCAGAATACGATGGCTGGTGTGGGTCTTCCAGGCTGTGTGGAAATTTTGTTTCCTAATGTTTCGCCAGCATCTGTGACCGACATCTTCAGGAGGACAGGAGCTCAGAAAGTCTACATCTGATGTATTGTCGAAGGCTTTCACGGCCAGAATACGATGGCTGGTGTGGGTCTTCCAGGCTGTGTGGAAATTTTGTTTCCTAATGTTTCGCCAGCATCTGTGACCGACATCTTCAGGAGGACAGGAGCTCAGGCAGGAGCAGTTCTCTCTGTGTCCAGGATGATGTGACCCTGTTGTGGGTATTTATAGAGATGAGCGAGGGTGCCTGAAGGGTGTGTGTGTGTGGGGGGGGGGGGGGTTGGTTTAACATTTGGCGGTTTTTGCCACAAAACAAACAAAAAATATCCAGAAAACACCCAA